ACACACATATATATATATATATATATATATATATATATATATATATATATATATATATATATATAATATATATATATATATATATATATATATATATATATATATATATATATATATATATATATATAATATACATATATGTATGTATTTACGCACACACACACATGTGTGTGTGTGCCTGTCCCTGTGCCTGAGTGCGTGTACGTGTTTGTATGTACGACCAAGAAGCAAAGAAAAGCAACGAATAAAATAACCAAAGGAAGGGGAAAGGAAAGGAGAGAGGGAGGGAGGGGAAGGGAAAAGAAATGGGGAGAGGCAGAAAGGGAGAGGAAGGGAAAATAAAGGAGGAGAGGCAGAAAGGGAGGGGAAGGAAAAATAGAGGAGAGGGAGAAAAAAGGGGAAGGAAAAATAGAGGAGAGGGAGAAGAAAGGGGAATGTAAAGAAAAAAGGAAGACTGAGGAAGGGGAAGGGAAAAGGGAAGGAGAGGCAGAGAAATAGAGGGGAAGGGAAAAGAAGGGGGAGAGGGAGAAAGGGAGGGGAAGGCGGCTTAAAGAGAAGAGGGAGATGGGGAAGGGGAAACAAAGGGTATATCAAAAGGAAAAAACTGATAAATAAGAGAAAAGGGAAGGAAGAGGGAGCTCAGAAGAAGGGGATGTGAGAGGAAGGGAAATGGGAGCGAAGGAGGTGTGGAGTTTAAGGAACAAGAAGAGGGAAGAGAAAGGATAGAGGGAGAGGGAGAGAGAAAAGGAGGGGGAGGAAGGCAGGAGAAGGGTGAAAGAGGGAGAAAGGTCCCTCGTATTTTTTATTATTTGTTCCGTGCAATTTCCACGCGCCTCGCTAGGTACACACACACACACACACATATATGTATATATATATATATATATATATATTATATATATATATATATATATATATATATATATATATATATTATATATACCTACATATACATATAATACATACACACACACACACACACACACACACACATATATATATATATATATATATATATATATATATATATATATATATATATATATATATATATATATATATATATATATATATTATATATATATATATATATATATATATATATATATATATGCGCGCGCGTGTGTGTGAGAAGTTCTCAGAGGAACATCCAAACAACATCCAAACCAAATTTCACCACCGGACATTGCAACAGCTGATGACGCCAAGAGAGATAAACAAGTGACAGTCGCCCAGAACAGCTGACTGAATTCCCACAAAACTTTATTTCTTAGATTTAAAGGGTTTTGAGTTCCTGTTTATCACTGACGTAGGTTTACGTGTTGCTCCAAGTGTATACTAGCATCTGTTCAGGTTCTCGTACATTTATCTAGAAATATTTTTAGTGTTTTACATTACATAGGCACTATCCTTTTCTGACTAATTTTATTACTTGTATTTTTATATAAATTTAAAGCGACGTTTCATTATCAGTGTTTAATTATTATGGTTATAATAAGATTAGACCGCATTATTACCATATTAATAGTACTAATGATAATGGTAAAAATAATTAAAGTGATAATAAAGACCACTGTTTGCTGAAGGAACCGAAATGAAATCTACTGCTTCGTAAATTGATCCGCAGAAGCGAAGCACAACCCATGCGTAGCTTCGAGCTAATGAGTCATGAGTCGTGACGTCGACAATCTCCGCTGCGAAGTGAAGTTTGCTAAATTTCGAAAAGGAAGACGAGCTAAGGGAACTACACACTGCCTAGATTTGAGTTTAGTTTACGTTAAAGGTAGGCTTATGCTAGGACTTCTATCCGAGGTTTATGTTAGAGATATCGGCTAGAAGAAACATTAGAAATTGCCTCAGGGCGATGCTGTTTATCATCATAGTTCTTGATATTATCTTTACTCTTTACTTTCATCATCATTATCCTCCTCCTCCTCCTTTTCATCATTTGCAGGCGGTTTGTTAAAATTGTGTGAGGCTCTACCCAGTGAACATTCATTATACGGACATGCATGTACTCTGAAATAAATGCACAAATATAAGTCTAGACATACAAATCCACTGTATAGATAGATAAATGTGTATATATATCTGATAGACAGACAGATGTACATTTTTTCTATGTATATGCATGTCTGTATTTACGAATATTCATTAGGTTGGGCCTCGCACAATTTTAACAACCCAGCCGTTGGCAGTGAGAACATCTTTCCCGAAACGATGGTTTTCCCAACAATAATACTGATAATAATCGGGCGGTTTGTAAAAACTGCGCGAGGCCCGACCCAATAAATACTTATCATACGGACATACTTATAGACAGAAATAAATGCATATCTATCAGTCTGGACCTGCATATTTACCGGATGTATATCTATCAAATAGATTTGCAATTATTTCTGTATATGCATGTCCGTTTATGTGAATACTCATTGGGTCGAGACTCGCACAAACTGGCAGAATGAAAACAATAGTAATGATCATGATAATGAAATTAAGA